AGCAGCTTTATTCATAATCACCAGAACTCAGAAGCAACTAAGCTGTTCTTTAGTAGGTGAATGTATAAATAAAATGTGGTCCAGCCAGAAAATGGACTATTATTTGTTGCTAAAATGAAATGAGATATCAAGGCATGGAAAGACATGGAGGAACCTTAAATGCATATTACTAAGTGAAAGAAGTCAATATGGGAAGATTCTGCAACTGTCTGATTCCAAATGTATGGTGTTCTGGAAAAGGCAAAACCACACAGACTTAAAGGTCAGTGGCTGTCAGAGGTTAGAGGGGAAGGAGCAATGAATGAGGTGCAGCAAGGAGCATTTTTAGGGTCACTAAGACAGATTACTCTGTATGATGTTGTGATAGTGGATACGTGTCATTGTACATCTGTCCAAAGCCACAGAGGGCACACAACCAAGTGTAAATCCTAGTGTCAAGTATGTGCTCTGGGTGATGATGACGTGTCAGTGTAGGTTCACCCATTGTCACAAATGCACGCTTTGCTGCAGTTGTCAATAGAGAGGATGCTGTGGGGACAAAGTGCATTTCTCACCCCCAATCTGACCCCAGCCACCGCTGAGAATAAAGCTCTGTGGGTGTGTGGACTGTCCGGCTGCTCTGGCACCTGAACAGCAGAGCTGAGCAGCTGCACCAGAGATCAGGAGGTTTGCAGGCCCTGAAATATTTACTCCCAAGCCCTTGACAGAAAAAAGTCTGCTGAGCCCTGTTCTACACAAATCAGAATTCACCCTGATGAGACAGGAGATCAGGGCCCAAACCAGGCATGATTAATGGGACTGAAGCAATATTTTAGTTCCAACACCTTTGCTGAAGTCCTGCAGATCCAGCGACAGACTGTAGCCAGGAAGCGTCTGCAGAAGGAGTCGGTAGCAGATCTTCCCGCCAGGCTCCAGGATGCCGGGGGCCGCGCACTGCACGGGGGCCACCCGCTTGAAGAAGGCGGACTTGCAGTGGAAGCTGATCAACTCCTTGAGCTCGGAGAGGATGCTGCACTGCTGGATTCTCTCCTCGGAACGCTGAAGCACAGGATAAAAACAACAAGCATCTGAACGAAACATGTAAGTGAAAAAATATACATAAAAAATATTTCCCATAAAACAGAGACCCGATGACACAGGAAGAAAGAGGAAGGCTGACAGTGCACTGACGGGACCGGATGCAGAAACACAGGGAAGCAGCGCTGTGCAGACCCTCCAGACCCCCTCTGGGTACCACCTCACCGCGTTCAGCCTGTCCTATTACTAGAAAGGCCCATACTCCTGAAACAGAGGAATCTGATACCTAAAATGAGACACAGTAAAGGGAAAGAGGAAAAGGAAGGCAAAGTAAAGGAACAACAGTTCATCTAGACCCTAGGATTTGGGCGGGACTTTCACCAAACACACAACTTCTCAAAGCACAGAGCACACAGTGAGTGGCTGACAGAATGACTGCGACTTCTGCTCCTTAAACACCAGCTACCTGCCAGAACACGCTGCGCCCCTTACTGAATCATTACAATCATCTCAGAAACTATTACTACCCCGGCTCACAGGCATGGAAATCTGAAACTCGGGGAGGAATTATTATCATCCTGGACAAAGTTCCACGTCCCAGAAGTGTCAGAGCCACCGGCAGACCCTGGACTAAAATGCTCCTAATCACCACGGGCCCTGAGCCTCAGGCTGAGGCCACATCAGGTCTGCACGGGCCCAGAGCACAAGTCTGTGGGACAGGGAATGTTCCCACTCTAAGTGCCAGGCCAAGTCCCTAAGGAACCTATGAAATGAAACCAAATCCCCAAACACATTTCCAACCCACTACCCTGTCCGGGAGGACTGCTCGGCACATCTGAACTGTCACCTGTGCACAGGCTGTGCAAGGGGCACAGACAGTGACGTGACGTCCCAGTGGAAGTGGCTCAGAGGCCACTTCATCACCGGATAGACTCTCCCGGCTTCCAACGTTAACTCTCCATTCTATTTCCAACTGGAAAATAAGTTAATTTTGTTTTCCTCTCCTAGAAACAGAGAGTGGTAACATCAGCAGGAATCTCAAGACAGAGGAAGAGTCTCCTGGTCATCTGGAAGGATAGGCCAGCGAGGGAACAGAGACAGGAATCAGAAAGACCCGAGTTCCAGTCCAAAGTCTGCACGTCACTCTCTTTGATAGTTTCCTTATTAATACAGTTGATAAAATCTAATTATGATTGTTGGGAAAACTAAATGAAATAACGTCTGCCACTAGCATACGTCTAAAATCCTCCATGAGTGTTCCAGAAATGGACGTGATCGTGGTTAGTTACTGTCTGCCAAGTCTTGGGGGCTAAGCACACATCAGCCAGCAAGAGATGTGCCAGAGAATGGCTCACAAGACAGCAGCATTCTCCAACTTGGAAACTCACAGTGTCTGAAGAACAGGCAGTGGTGGATGCTTTCGGACCCTCTGGAGGTAGCACTCCGGTGATGACTTTAAACAGCTGGGGAGAATTTAGGGGACCATAAATTTCAAATACAGAAAACACATTCCATGTCTACAAACATTCATCTCTAGCCATGATGATTCAGAGAGGATATACATATTCAAATTTCACAAATTTCCCACATAAGTGCATCAAAACAATTTGGAAAGAATGTAACTTTCGTTTCTAGATCACAAAGCAGGGATTACAAGGTTTGTAATGAGAGCCCTACTTGTAAAACATCTGCTAATGTAACTGGGTCCACTATCTGTCATCATCATTTGAAGAGATCGATGGAAAAGAACAAAGCCAAGCTAATACGCTCCCGTCTTTTGTTTGGTTACGATGTCACAGAGGAGACGGACAGGTTAACAAGGAACCACTCTGCAGTGATCATGGAGCCGGGGAACGGGATGGGTGACAAGACGTATGACGCAGCCGCAGCTGTGCCCGCGCTTCTAGGAAGGTACCCAAAGTCACCTCGACAACGTGTCAAACGCTTGTGCCCACGTCCCCATCACCTGACATGTATTTAAGAGAAATGAAAACCTATAAACGGCCAATACCCTTGGTGGGTACACCATCCAAAGAGCAAAGTCACAGTTTGACAACTGGCCATCATTGTTCCCTGGGATTCATTCTTGGAGAACCTTAAAAACCACTTCTCTGTCCTCAAGAAGTGCTGCCTACTTGTCCTATTTTTGGCTCAGTGATACAGCACATTCACGTGGACTTTAATGTCTGCACAGATTTGACTGTCTTTCTCCAGGTTCACTTCTCCATTCTGAAGAGGCCTGAGTTAAGTCCATCCTCCGTAAGATCAATTTCCTCCAGTGACAACTCATCAAGCCTGCAACTAAAAGCCAACTTAACAGGACTGTCCTCAGCTAAAAATGTCACCCACCCTTCACTGGTTTCTTAATCTCCTTTCCTGGCTAATTGCTACAGACAAACACCTCCCTCCACCAAGTTCCCCAGCTATGTCACTTTGTCTCCCCAAAGAGAAAGTAAGGTCCATAAAAGAGGAGAAAACTCAATAGTCACCTCTGAATTCCTAGCATACAGTTATGTCAATAAATAGAACTGTAATTATGGCTTCTTTCCTTTAAAACCTTTCTGGTTATTTAAATGAGGCCTTGGAAGAGAGGTGTTTGGGTCAAGTATCTTGATCCAGAAGACTCTGGAGGCCTTATTCGGAATGGCTGTTCACTAATTCATGCAAAACACACCTTCTCATTCCGGGAGGAGCTGTGATTTACTGCCAGGAGTTTGTGGTCACTCTCATGCCAGAGCAGCTTTAAACTAAATCCTTTAAA